TATACACATAAAAAAATAAAAAAAATACAAAAAACAAAAATAAAAAAGTTCAAAAGAAGCGGAACTTATTTATGAAATGGTTGGTGCAGCACTATCCCCCTCGCTTACACAGGAATAGGTAAAGTAAATTAGCAATAAGTGTATAATTATAATTAAATGTAGTTAATTAAGTTAGATTAGGGTATGATGAGGCTGACATACCTTTGTAAGGGAAAAGCCTCTAAATAAATAAAGATAAAAAAAAAATAAAAAAAAAAATATAACAAATAGGTACCAAGAAGTAAGTACCTCAATTTAATCATTGTAAATATACCAATCTTTTAAATGCGCCAAAGAAAAGCAAAATGATATTATATTTTTATTAGGTACCAGTATTATTTTGCTAGTCTTTGCCAGTCCTAAGCCTGGAAAAAGCATGAGCTGGAGCTGCTCTGGAGCTGCATTTTGGAGGCACTTCGATATCATCGGGTGCCCGCCCACCTATCTTCGTCGTGTAATCGAGGCATATCTGACGGAACGGTCCGTCGTTTATCCCGGTCACCGAGGTGAGTAGATCCGACGAGAGACGTCGCGCGGTGTTCCACAGGGTTCGGTTTTGGGGCCGCTCCTATGGAACATCGGCTATGACTGGGTGCTGCGCACCGACCTCCCGAGTAACGTCAGCGTGGTCTGTTACACTGACGACACACTGGTGTTAGCACACGGGAGGTCGCATCAGGCGGCGGCTAATTTAAGTACTTGTTCACGTTGACTCGCGGGCGCGGTCACGAAATATCAAACATATGGCGTAGTATCCAAGTGTTCACGTACGAAACGCACGTGCGGTCTAAGTAGCGGGCAAGCTAGCGGCTGGCACGCGCGCGCCGCTCGCGGCAATATCAAATGCGTGAGATGTTTGTGTGTGTTCACGTCGAACTAGCGGCGGAGCGCGCGATTCACTCGCGACGTCAGGTAAGTTCAACCAGTATGAACTTGTCGCTTGAAACGTTAGCGCGTCTTCATCATGTCTTTCAATACAGAAGAGTTTATTAGTGCTGTTCAGGCTAGAACTCCGATTTGGCAAAGCAAATACAGTCATCACATGAACAGAAATATTCTCAATAAGTTATGGAAGGAAATTGCGGAATTGTTTCCTGATATGGAGGGTGAGTAAATGAAATATTGTGGGTATTTTAAACCTTTTATTTTTATATAGGAATAGAATATTATGATAGACTACTAAAGATACAAAAATATTAAAAAGATGGCGACGTATATATTAAACGATTGTTCTGCCAAAAATATTTCGTGAATAAACTCCGAATTTGTTTAGCTCGATTTGATGGATTGTTGTTTCTTCCAGTTTGTCGCCTTTGGTGCCGAGTTTCAGTTGCTAACTCCTCATTGCAATTGTAACCATCTATATCAATTACAATATTATGCAATAGGCAAGCGGTTTTTATGATCAGGCGTGCATGTTTAACATCAGTTTCAATAGGTTTTAAAAAAACTCGCCATTTATTACATAAAATTCCAAATGCACATTCCACGGTTTTTCTCGCTCTTGACAATCTATTATTACTCTATCTTGATTCAATGTTCTTTGTGGATATGGACGCATTAGATACTCTTTAAGAGGATAAGCTTCATCGGCTACTATAACATATGGAGCTGTAATGTTAGAATTGAGTAATGTTCTTGGTTCTGGGATATTGAATGCGCCTCTTTCGAGTAACCGGTTCAGGGACGAGGCGTTGAATGTACCGCCGTCGCTTTGCTTTCCTCTACCTCCAACTTCAATAGTTAAAAATCTTTTGTTCGCATCAGCCACAGCTTGCAAAACAATAGAGAAATAATGCTTGTAGTTAAAAAATGCCGATCCTGATCTTTTAAGTCGTTTAATTCTACAATGTTTACCATCCAAACTGCCAATGCAGTTCGGAAAGTTCCACATTTTTTCAAAATCTGAAGAAATATGCTTAAGCTGGTCTTCAGACGGCAGTGGCATATGGACATTCAAATTTTTTTTCCAAATAGCTTCACAAGTACTATAAATAATCTGAGACACTGTACTAATACCCAAACGAAAGCTATAAGCCAAAGATCGAAATGCCAACCCAGTGGAAAGATATCTGAAACATAAAAAAATACAATTAGGTATTATGTAAAATTTGAATAGATCTATACTAATTACTTAATATACCTACTAAAATTATATAAGGCATCAACACTAATCAAAATTTATTTTTTACAGAAAAGGCTTTAAGAAAAAAATGGAAGAATATTCGGGACCAATTTATGAAAGAATTTAAAAAAATTCCGGTTTCTCGTTCTGGTGATGCTGGAACTGATCAAAACACTTCAGTGTGGCCATATTTTCAAATGATGCAGTTTATAAAAGATGACGTTACCCCAGAATTAAATGAAGGCAATTTAGATGAAACTACTGATAGAAACTGTAGTGATAATAATGAGCGGTCCCCAACTCCCCAGTCAATAGCTGGTTCATCTACAAGTACACAATATACGAGCAGCAAACGTAAATGTGCACAAGATATAAGAGAGGAATTTATGGAATTGGAGAAGAAAAAGTTGGAATTATTACAAATTAAACTGTCGCAAAGCAGCGAAAGGCAAGAAAAAGATTGCGAAGAATTGTTATTTTTTAAAAGTTTGTTGCCGTACATGAAGGAGTTAACTCCTATACAAAAATTACGTACTAGAAACAAAATTACACAAGTTGTTATGGATGAAATGAATAGTGTCACGACCCAGGCTTACCATGGTTACAATACTAATGTTAAGCGAGATACCAGCGATTCTAACACACGGTTTAATTCCTTCACTAATTCCGAAGGGAGAAAGTGTAGAGGTAAATGAACTTAAAAGATTTTCCTATTTCTTTAATATCGAACAATCGGTGACACTCCAAATGCCAAGTGCTAAAAAGAATGTGGTCAATGAACCCATGAGTAAGACCTTGGAAGCAGCAGAGAAATTTGTCAATGCTGCCATAAATGGTTCCTTGAATAGCGATGAGCAGAGGAGAGCCCTGCTAAATCATTTCAATCTCTACACTCCAGACGGAGAAATCAAGAGATGGATAGCAATAGGTGCTAAGCTGTATAACAGGTGTGCTGTCACACCTTCCTACTACATGCTTCAGTCGGCACTCTCAATGGAATTGGCTAATAAATCCATGTCGGTTCTGGAAGCAGTATAATTTGTAGTGCCATAAACCAATGTTTAGTTTCTTGTAGCTCTCCACTGTATGTAGTACTAATACTTTGATACTTTGTAATACTTTGAAAATATTGTTATTTTGATAAAGTGGGGGTGTTAAAATGTTATCAAAATAAAATTATAATGTTAAGATTTTGCATGTAGCGCCATCTATGAGCCTAAAGGTGAAACGTGTCTATAATGTCTATTGCCTAAATTGTCTGTGTATGAATGTTTGAACGAATTAAATATAGTCTTTTCAAAACCGTCAACCGACATCTTTTATTAGAAATAATAAAAGCTAACTATAAAAACTAACTAAAAAAATAATAAAAATAACACGATCGCGATCACGCAATCTAATGGGTGGGCAAAAACTTTTGACCGGTAGTGTATATATATTACATTTACATTATTTAATAAATTGAACACTTACCGTCACCGCCCGAGTTTTTTGTTTCCTTCGATGGGAACGCAATGCCAACGTAGTGGTGGTGCGCGTGGCCATTGCCATTTTATGTTGTTTTATTTTACAAATACCCCACAGCACACTTACAACTTAAATTATAACAAGTTCATATTTTAACATAATTAGTTTTGGTAGATTCTTTTTTTTTGCATAAAATAAAATATCTGCGATTTTTAAATTTAATGACAGACACACACTATTATTTATATAACAGTTAACTATTTAAATTATATTTTAAATCCGTCATTCGCCATTTGAACTGAACATTACACCCACAAAATTAAAATTATATTTTGGCATAATATGCGGATTACAAGCATGTGTTGCTTTCGTCCGTGCGTCACTGCAGGGGTGCCAACTGAAAATCAGTGTCGGGTGCTCACTGTGCCCAGCTTTTAGCTGAGTTGGCGACCCTTTTGGCTTGGGCATGTCTGCCAATATCGTGCAGAACCTATTTTATACCTATTGTATCTTCTAGTTTTATAATTTAGCTTTTATCTTTTATTCTCACTCTCTTGTGTTACACTCTTATATTGTTATTTTTTAAATTGTATTGTATTGCTACTTTTTGTTCCTTGCATTCATGCCGTATGCCGAAAAAACTCTTTTCAATTTAATTCATTCATTCATTTCATGTGTTTTCATGGCCGCGGGAACGCGCCACCTCCGGGTGAGTCCCAAATAACGGCGGGAGAGGTTACCATCGGCGCACTAACGAGCATTTTGATTTAAAAACCGGACAAAAGTGACAATTATAAATTTCTGTAAATGCCATTTAAAATGTCATTTTATTGCACCTGAGTAGTGGCACTACCATAAACCGGTCCTACCTCGGACCACTCCCCTCCGCACGCCCCGTTCAGTTAGTCGAAGACTAGTCTTTGTTTAGTACGCACCACGGCTGATAATCTTCGTACATCGGAACGCTCTACGTAGCGCCATTTTGTTTTATGGTGGCTTGCATAACATTGTGTTAAAACGGCCTTAAATATTAATTAGTTAACTACATTTAACTCCATAAATATGTTTATCCTAAACGCATTTAAGATTGTCTTGCATGAAAGAATTTCAAATGCTATTTAGCTAAACGTGTTTAGCAAGCGAGTAAAATTACTCCAGCGTTTCGTTTTACGCACTCTGTTTTTTTTTATGAAACTTGTGTTAAGCAACAAAGGATTTTTATACGTTTACGTAGAAAGGAACTATTTAACGTCAGCAGTCTGTCAAAGTCAACGTCAGCGTGGTGTTTTTATTTTGTCTATCATTATTTTTATTTTTCGCGCCTTCGCGGTAATCACTCGTGTCACGTGTGCCGGTGTGCTCTTTTAAAATGCCGAAATCAAGTAGAACTCGTGGCCCAAATTTTAACAATAAAGAACAAATATTGCTGCTGGAAGCTGTGAAACCGTACGCTAAAATTATTGAAGCAAAGCAGACCGATGCGGTTAAACAAGCAGATAAGCAGGATGCATGGACGAAAGTAGCAGAAGTTTTTAATGCTAATACAACGGACCAACCCCGAGGAGTGGAGAACGTTATAAGTTATTATAGAAATTTGAAATCAAAACTCAAAAAACAACACTCTGATGCCAAAATGTTATTAGTTGGTAAGTAATTTATTATACAAAAATATGTACCGTTTTCAACTGTTAAAAGACTCAAATTGACCTATACTTGTAACAAATACATTAATAGTATTGTATTTATTGTTTAGATCCTGCCCAAAGAAATGTGCTTATACAATCAATAGAAGACAATGGGAAAGACTGGAATGCTGTGGCCTCAACTTCTCAGTCAACCACATGGAATGATCCAGAGCTGTGTGAGAAAGGTTTTGAGGAATTAACTAAGGAAATGCAAAGGAATGAAAACAATCATAAAAGGCACTTGATGGGAACAGGTAAATAATAAATATACACAATATTATTACTGTATTATAAATAAAAATTCCCCGCCATCCCCTGTCTGGTACAATATTTATTTATGGATTTTGTCAATTGTGTGGAAAGTGTTATTGTTAATTTATTCACATTTTGTACAAAGTAATGAAACGTGATAGCATAATGTTGTATGTACTTATATTTTGAAAATTGCTACACAGTACAGGACTTTGTATCCCAGAATATAATAATAAAAGCAAATTGTAATGATTTCTCTTATTTTAGGTGGTGGTCCTTGTCAACCGCCTAAAAGTGATGATCTTGAAGAACTTAAGAAACTAATCGAACCACAGATTGATGGCATGTTTACCATATATGAGAGCGATGCAGAATTGATGGCCCAATTTCAACAATCACTGCCAGATAAGGAAAGGAAGCAGCCAATTGAAAAAAAAATTGTGGCTTGTTTGCAGAGTAAGTTCTTTGAAACTGTCAGTTTTACTTACTTATGTTTTAATTGTTCAGATTTTATTTATTTAATGAATTACAGATAATCAAGAGGTCGAAATTGTTACGGAGGAGAACAATTTAGTGACTCCGGTCAAGGCTTTGTCACGGAATGGAATTATACGAAAGAAAAAAGACCCTGCACTTTGCCCCACTGGTAAATTGCACAAATATTAAATAGTAAAGTTACTGTTACTGTGAAGTACTGTAGTGTATGATGGTTACTTTATTTACAGATAATCACAGACCCAAGTCGAAAATGTCTTTTACTGACTCAATACAGAAGGTCTCAGAAGCCAAGCTAGAGTTAGTTAACATGCAGAAACTCGTCATACAAACAGAGTTGCTGCATAAACAAAAACTGCAGGAGCTTGAATTGGAAGATAAAATAAAGGAGAACAAGTATAAAAAGCTAATACGGGAAAAAGAGCTCGAGTTATTGGAATGAAAAATTAAAATGCACAAATAAAAGAATGTTCATGATATGTTTGTGTTATTTTAGCATCGCTTTCTATTTATTATAACTCCTTGAAATTAGTCAACTACTTTTAGTTAATATGGTACAAATAAATCTTCACTTATATATCCCACCAACAGCTGAAAGACATCCACTGCTGGACAAAGGCCTACCTCTTAGTCCTCCATGCTCCCTTGTATAACAGAAGTATTATTATGAAAGTAATTCAATGAAATGTAATAAAAGTCAACTTTGTTTTGGTACAATTATATTGATTTACAGTAATTGAAAATAGTTTTCAATCAACATTCTTTTTTCTATATGTTGGTTGCAACTAACATATAGAAAAAAGAATGTTGATTGAAGCAACCCTCTTGATGTATTTGTAGAGGCTGTATGTAATGCAGTTTCTTCCATTATGAGATATTCAGGATCCTCAAGTGGAGGCTCTTCATTTTGTAAAATTGCCAGGTTGTGTAATACAGCAGTAGCCACAATTATGCCTGGCACCCTATGCAAATTTATATTAATTCCCCGAGATAAAATGGGAAACCTCTTCTTCCAAACCCCAAAGGCTCTTTCTACAACATTTCTAGTTTTTATTTGTGATTCTTGATACAGTATTTCTCCTCTAGTATTGGGACTTCCATCTGGCAGTGGGGTCATCATATATGTAGTCTGGGCATATCCACTATCACCCAATAAATATTTATTTGGATATTTTCCTTGTACATCTGTGTTTCAATCTATGTTTCAAGTTCCTGGAACAGGCGATGACTACATAGATTTGTCTCATACATTACTCCACATAAAGGCAAAAGTATTAAATCAAGATTCAACAAACTTGATATCAGCTACAGCAGTAGCACCTGTAAATAATTGGTTGCATTCACTTTTTAGTCAACTCGATATTTATTTAAACCAAAAACTTGTATCACCACCTAATAATACCTATGCTTATCGAGCATACATGGAAACCCTTTTAAACTATGCTCCTGCTGCTAAACAATCTCATCTTACTTGTAGTCTTTGGTATGATGATACAGCAGGAAAAATGGATTCCACAGATGGTAAAAACATTGGATTTGTGAAAAGACAGGAATTAGTTAATGAAAGCAGGGAAGTAGAAATGATTGGTCATCTTCATGGTGATATTTTCAATCAAGATAAATTTTTAATTAATGGCGTTGAAATGAGTGTAAAATTAGTTCGGTCAAGAGAGAGTTTTAATTTAATTGCTGGATCAAATGATGTAAAGTTTAAAGTTTGCATTACGGATGCAACTCTTATTGTTCGAAGAGCACGAATTAATCCAAGTGTATTACTCGCACATCAGAAAGTTTTAGCTTATACCACTGCTAAATATCCTATTACTCGTGCTGAAGTTAAAGTTTTAACAATTCCATCGGGTGTTCAAGGAAAAACTCTTGATAATATTCTTAGGACAGGTACCCCAAAGATGTATTATTGGTTTTGTGAATAATTCCGCGTTTAATGGTTCACTTACTAAAAATCCATTTAATTTTGAAAACTATGGTATTAACTCTTTCAGTTTATATATTGATGGTCAACAAATACCTTCCAAAGCTTTGCAACCATCTTTTAATAATAATATATTTACATCAGCATATCATACTCTATTCTCGGGGACAGGTATTCACTTTCTTAATGAGGGAAATTCAATCTCTCGTGAACAGTATGCTAAAGGTTACTGTCTTTTAGCATTTGATTTAACTCCTGATTTATCAGCTAACTCATCAGCCCATTGGAATCTCATAAAACATGGTAGTGTAAGATTAGAAGTACGATTTGAATCCTCACTAATACAAACAATTAACTGTATTGTTTATGCTGAGTTTGATAATATTATTGAAATAGATAAAAATAGAAATGTTACTGTAGACTATAGTAGTTAAGATTATAATATGTGTTGTGTTTTAGATATATGTGTTATGCTTAATGCATTTTGTGTGTGTGTGTAACTAAAGCTAATATTATAAAATTAATAAAACAAATTATATGCAATGTAATATTTTTTATTTCTTTATATACCTCCCTTATTTAATCTTACACAAAAGACTGTTCGAGTTTAAATTTCATATAAGCACATTGACTAAACCACTGAACATGCTGCTGCCAAGGATCATCGTCATCTTCCCAATCTTTTAAACCACCACCACAATGGAAACACTTAGTCCTGTCTCCATGGCCAGTATAAAAGAAACCGGCTTCTGCAAGATCTTCGGGCTTCTGCTGCATAACGAGAGGCCAATTTTCGAAACTCATCAACCGTCTAGATTTTGAACTGAAAAATGGATATTCATCTCTTGGGTACTGCATATTCTTCACTTTTTCTTCTCCAATCAGTTTTGTAGTTTTGTTTTTCCATGAAGTGTTCTGTACACGTATACCACACTCATCTCTTCCTTCTGCTATTGTTTTTCTCTCAGCATCACAAGACGACAGCTCCTTGGATCTAATGATTACACAGAAGTACTTTAAGTAAACAGAATCACATTCACGAATCCACCAATGAGTGTCATTGTTAAAAAAGTATTTTTTAACTTTTTCACTTTCTGCTATTGTCTTTGTAATATTGTATACGAGACCGTTTGTGTTGTCGTAGATGCTATCCTTATTATTCTTTACGTAATATTTAATCCTCGTGGTAGCGTGCTTCCAGTGATCACTAATTGGAATCTTGGATAGTTTCTTCATATCATACATTTCAATTTTTATGAGATGCGTCGCTTGGTCTCCGTCGTCAGAATTTGTAGAGATGTATGATACGCCATCTCTAGCAGCTCGTGCCACAGTCGACGATAGCTGCTTCTTCCTTTTTATTTTTGGTGTCACTTCAAAAAATTGATCAATCGGTTGCGATTTCCTTTTTCCTCCATCGTCTGTGTTATTAACGACGATGTCATCTCTCTCTTCTTCGTGTTGGGGAGAGAGTGGCGAGTAGTAATACTGTTTATAGGTATTTTCATTATCGTCGACGAAGCTGAATGATCTCTGCAACAACAGAGTTATCACGTTAATATCAATTTGTTTACACTTAATCCGACTCACACGCACACACACACGTTAGGAAAACAACAACAGAAATACAAGTAAGTTTGTCAATAGAATAAACACTTACCTCCATGATCATTGATGCGTTGAAGTAGGTAACACAAACGTAGTATTGGTAGACGTATACAATCCACTGTGGTCAAATGACCATAAACTGACTGCATGACTGCAACTGTTCGATCTTATATAGCACAATTCTTATCTCGGGCGGAACTCTATGAGTCAACAAACTTATCTCACGTCGCAACAGGCATGAACATGTTTTGTGACTCCCACAAATCACTATCTTAATTACACATTAATTACACATTACTATGACCACGTTATCTAAAGTAAATTCCTAAGTACAACGGAACTCTATGAGTCAACAAACTTATCTCACGTCGCAACAGGCATGGACATGTTTTGTGACTCCCACAAATCACTATCTTAATTACACATTACTATGACCACGTTATCTGAAGTAAATTCCTAAGTACAACGGAACTCTATGAGTCAACAAACTTATCTCACGTCGCAACAGGCATAAAGATCACTATGCGATTTACAAATCACTATAATTGAACATTCCTATGACAACCATTGAATAGATTGGTACTGCAATAAACTGCTAATAACAGTGATATCATGGATACACTAGAATTAAAAAAAACATATGAAAAAGATTCATCCCAGTCTAGAAAATAATGTTTATGCTGCTAATAGACTACCTATGTATACACAAGTACCAACGTATATAATATCCAATTTGAATGCGGATGATAAACCAGGCTCACACTGGGTAGCTGTACATATCGATGTGAATGGCATCGGTCAATATTTTGATTCATATGGACGAACACCTGAGCGATATCATCTTCAGTTTTTGAAAAGGAATTGTAAGAGATGGGACTGGAATGTTGATAGGATTCAGAATGATTGGACTTCAGTTTGTGGTGAATATTGCTTAATGTATTTGCTATTTAAGTTTCAAGGATGTTCAATGAATAGTTTTACGAACATATTTACAGGAAACACACTGTACAATGATATTTTTGTGGATGAGATGTTCCACTCATATTTTGTAGAAAAAGTAATGAAATAAAAAATTAAAAATGAACGGTTGTGTTTTATTGATGACATAGGAAATCAAACATAATGAGGGTTAATTATCTCATTAATTAATTAATGAGATAATTAATGAGTTAATTATCTCATTAATTAATTAATGAGATAATTAATTAATAGATACAATAAATTGATTTGCATAACTCCAGAACCACGCATCGTACGCTAAAAAGGATTGCAGAAACGTGATCAGAGCATGCCAAAACCGTTTTTTTTTTTTTTTTTTTCTAGATTTTGTACAAAATATTCCCGACTTCCAAAACCTTAAACATGGATTCTATAGCTCAAGAAGAAAAGCAAATGGTGCCAATCGGCTGATTTTTAAAAAAGCAGAGGAAGTAGTTGTACCTAAAAAATATGAAGACTTTTTAATTTGTGATTATCAAGATGGTTCAAACCGAATTTTAATATTTTCTGTGGTAAATGAGGTGACAATGTCAAGTTTCTCCGATGTCTTTTTAGATGGAACCTTTAAATTTGTAATTCATCCATTTGTTCAGCTATTTAGTATTCACGCTGATATTGGAAGCTCTACCACCAGTACAAATATTGTGCCGTTAGTGTTTGCGCTGCTTTTAAATAAAAAGCAAGCTACTTACGAAATTCTATTTCATATGCTTAAGGCCCGTTTTCCCAATTGGTGTCCACGTCAGTTTACCATGGATTTTGAGATGGCAATACAAAACGCGGCACAAAAAGTTTTCCCAAACACGCTAATTTCTGGATGTTATTGTTTGTGAAATTTCTGTTTTGGCATTAAATATTTATCGTTCTTTTTTTCCATAATCAATTAAAACTATATTTTATATAAACAGGATCTTGTTTCTAAA